TAATGTAATTTTCTTTTTACAAGAGCAAGGCATAGTGGAGGTCCTGGGTTTTAAATAATATAATAATAGGTATAATACTACTATGCTTATCATGAAAACTGCCTACTTTGACATTTAACAAGAAGTCAAAGAGATAAATTATAAATAAATACGTACTAACAAATAATAACAATCCCATAATGCCCCAATATATAACTATTAACACAATGATTAGGTATTATTGTATTAACGAGTTTTGTAAAAACCTTTAATATGCCGAAATTATCAACACAACAAAAAACCGAAATTCGACTTTTCTATTAATATTACAAATTGCAGAAAATATGCATATCAGCGTAAGGTTTGTATGAACACTTTATTTCTATAGAATATTTTATTATTAAAATTTAATTATAGAGGCCAACCGTGAGGTTGTGGATAAATAGATATCAAAACGATGGAAACATCAATCATAGTCAATCTTTTAGAGGAAATTGAAGAGTTCCCATTGAGATCTACCAGGACCATAGCTCAAAAGAATGGTTGCTCAGTGCAGACCATTAGAAATACCCTTCACAGAGCTGCTATCCACCACCGAATTCCTGCCAGAAAAATAGCTTCGACTGAGAAAAACAAAACGCTTTTCAAGGGAATTTAAGTGGCAGAGTCACTATACTGACCACCCTCGTGATTAAATGTGGCGCCAAATATTTGAACACCCAACAGTACTTCTGCTATCACCCAACAGTACTTCTGCTATTAATATCTCCCAAACATTTAAATCGTCGCAGATTGGATGAGTTCACTTGTGGAGAAGCAATGGCAGCCTATACGATCCACACTTTAAAAACTCAAGAATCTGGCAGGATTCATGTATACATAAACATGTGGGTGTGGATGAACGCCGATGGTCCCGGTGAACTTGTCATACTTACTACTAATTAGAATATTCGATTAAAATAACCATTGTTTTTTTTTCAGTGTACTAAAAATCATTAAAATCACCCTGAAAAAATTTTCCATATTACAAAAAGTACGTTTTGAATTTTTTATGATAATATAGTATAATTTTATAAAGTACTGTACCTATCATTTTAAATTTTTATTATTTATTTTATTATAATAAAAAAATATTTAATATGGTATAAAATCTGTAATATTTGGATTTTTCAAATAAAATTTTAAATTTACCGATAAATTCTAGTGAAGTATAAATTGCACAACTTTAATTTGAATTATCTCAAATGGGGGGGCCAGAAGCCAGGTGAGGCGACACAAAAAACTAACTTTTTTTCGCAAACTTCAATTTAAATTCTGTTTGCGCCGAACTTGTCTATTTAATGTCATAATAAACTATTATAAATTTGGTGTGGGTCCCATGTCTAATAACTGAGATATTGGTATACCCAAAATCCCCAATCCGCCACTGCTATCATGTACCTACTACCGTGAACATATGGGCACACTGGATAGTATTATGTACTACCGTGACATATGATCACACTGGACAGTACCTACTTGAAAATAATGTACCTTTTACAAATATATTAAAATGTTTAAAATCTAAAGCCCTTTCGGACAAAGATTAAGTATTAAAAAACTTAATACAATAATAATTTGTGGAGTTTTGAGTTATTTAGGTCTCAAATTTTTTAAACACAGATTGGACTTATTTCTTGTATTATAATTATGTTCATGTGGATAATAGTTGTTTTCTTTATAGATTTCTGTATAGATTAAAGATTCAAATACATACAATCTGGTAAAAGTTCACAAATTTCATTTTATGTAGGATTCTTTACAATCATCGCGAATCGCGATAACTTAAACCTGCAATTATTCTTACTGCTCGCCTTTGTAAACCAAAAATTGTCTCCTTTATAGCTGAGTGAGCCCAAGAAAAGATTCCATACCTTTATTTAGATTCTATTAAAGAAAACGTTGCAATTCTAATTTTTTTTTCAAAGTTTGTTACATAAATTACGTGGTAATAATAATAATAATAATAATAATAATAATAATAAAATTTATTTCCAAAATAATTGTATAATACAGAGCACAACAACTAGGAAGAAATATTGTCAAGAGTTACAGATTAATATCGTATATTATACTGCAGATAATCTGCCAAAGTATAGGGTTCCATATCAATTAAATATTCCATGGCAAGGCTCTTAAAACTAGACAGTTTGGACACCGATTGGATATAACTAGGCAATTTATTATACATAACAATACACGCATAGAAACAGCCTTTTTCAAAAATGGTTAAACGATGCCTCGGGTATTTTAAAGCTCGAGTACGTTCAGAGTTCAATCTTAAATCTATAAACAGATGCATATTCTTACATACAAACATCAGAATTTCAAACACATACAACGCTGTCACCGTAAGTATTTTATGTTTCCTAAACTGCCCTCTTAATGATTCTCCATATTTAAAACCTAACATAGTTCTTAAACAATTCTTTTGAGCCACAAAGATGGCTTGAATATCCTTACATTGGCCCCAAAAGATAATTCCAAACCTTAGCACAGATTGGAAATAGGCAAAATACACTGTTTTTATTACGTTAAAATCAAGATTTCTCTTAAGCACTCTGATGCAATGGTGTACAGTATTAAGTTTTTTGTTCAGCTCTTGAATATGTTTGCACCAGTCTAAGTTTTCATCAATATATAAGCCTAGAAATTTGGTATTCGCGGAAATATTTAATACATGGTTGTTTAAGTTGACATTTACAGGCGTTATAATACTGGACATTTTAGTTTTAAATAAAATACAATTTGTTTTTTGTTCATTTAAAATAAGGCGGTTTTTAGTGAACCAATCCCTAGCCTGTCGGATAAACCTATTGCTTTCAGATGTGACACTATTTACATTTTTTGATGCTACTACAAGATTTGTGTCATCTGCGTAGCTCACAATATTACATTTTATTGATTTGGCTAAATCATTAACAAAAATAACGAATAATAACGGACCAATCACACTACCTTGCGGAATTCCTATCTTTACGTCTACCGCATTTGATAAATATTTACAATTATTTTTGGTAATTTCCACTATTTGCTTTCTATTCGCAAGGTACGATGCGATCCACCGCAGCGCACTTCCCCTCACACCATATCTCTCTAGTTTAAGTAATAAAATTTCATGATCCAGGCAGTCATATGCCTTGGACAAATCAAGAAAGATGCCCAACGCACACTCTCCATCCTCAAACGCTTTTAAAATACGTTGAGAGAAGTCATACACCGCAGTTTCAATACAACGTCCCTTCAGAAAGCCATGCTGATGAGGGCTAAACATATTACAGTAATTTAAAAATTCTACAATTCTACTACACATAACAGATTCAAATATTTTACTGAAAGATGATAATACACTTATGGGTCTATAATTTTCTATTTGTTTATGATCACCTTTTTTAAAAATTGGTTTGATCAAGGCAATTTTCAATATGTTAGGGAATATCCCATATTTTAATGAATTATTAATAATGAAACTTAGAGGGTAACATAACTCAAGTGCACAAAACTTTAAAATAGAGCAAGGAACTTCATCAAGTCCACTGCTTGCCTTATTTTTTAGTTTAACTAACACATCAAAAACTTCTTCAACCTTTACAGGTTTTACAAACATAGATTTCAAGTTAGCATTTATATCACAAGTGTAATTTTGGGACCTTAACCCACTCAGTAAATTAGGAGCAGCATTTACCATATAATCACTAAATTGATTGGCCACATTTTTAGGTTCTCCTGGAACTTCGATAGTATTAACATTATTTTTGCTTTTCAAGTTATTTACAATGTTCCATGTAGTTTTAACTTTATTATCTGATTGGTAAATTTGACTGGCATACCTGTCCTTTATTGCCTTTTGTAGCAGATCATTATATTGTTTTTTATTTGCATTATACATATCCCTAAATCTATCATCACAGCTCTTCAAAACATATAAAATATCTAACCTATTTTTACAAGAAATCACATTTTTGTTATCACAGTTCTGGTTTTTAATCTTTGGTTTTAGGCACTTTTTGGGAAAACACTCATTAAAGATTGGTGTGAACACACTTACGAACATTGACCATTGCATTTCCACATCACTGTCACAGCACATATACATACTACCCCAATCCTGTTCCTGCAGTTTTCTCTGAAATAATTCCCTCGAATTATTTGAATAGACTCTGCGTATGGTCCCATGCTTTTTTGGCAGGTTCTTAATTTGAAATTCCAACATTTGTCCTTGATGATCAGATATGTGATTATTTACCACTCTTGCGTCTTGATAATCAATGTTAGTGAATATATTATCCAAGCAGCTTTGAGAGTTAGCTGTAATTCTAGTATAATCAAAAATTGACTGATACAGTCCAAAAGAGTTCATTAGAGAGATAAATTGAGTACTTACATGATTGGTCTTTTTTAAACATATATTAAAGTCCCCCATAACAATAATATTTAGGTTTGGTTCATAAAGTTTATCAAGGAGGCTATGCATTTTTTCTAAGAAAACATTCACATCAGAATTAGGTGATCTGTATATACATATAATGACACAAGACCATCCCTCAACTTTTATGTCCACTGCAGCACACTCAAAAACATAGTTCTCAGACCCTATCATTAGATCTACCCTCTTATGGGCATTTACGTTATTTTTACAGTATATAACACTTCCTCCGTGTGAACCTGATTCCCTACAAAACCAAGCGATTGGCTTAAAGTGCGAAAAATTGTATGCCGTTATTCTATCACTGGTCTGCCAGTGCTCCGTGGCCCCAAAACATATACATTTTGTATTATCATTAAGAACTTTTTGAATTATATCAGTACTGTTATTTATAGACTGGACATTTTGGTGAATTACTCTATAGGACTGAGTCTGTTCGTTTTCCTCGAAAAAAAACGATATTGCCTTGTTACAATGTCTTTTGGCCATACCTCTTCTCTGGTAACTTCACTTAATATATCATAATTAAAACTCACTTTAAATGATTTTCTCTTACTGAGGTTTTCAGCATATTTTGTTAATTCTTCTACATTAAATTTTTCATTGGGTATTTTTTCTTCTAGATATGCTTTGACATCTTTTGGTTCAGTAGACCATTTGCAGCCACCTACATATAGCCATGCTAGTTTTTCAGCGGCTTTGAACTTAGAGTTTACACTATCCGCAGTTCCCCTGATTATAGGGGTTTTCGGCTTCTTCTTTTCCTTTACCTCTTTCCATTCATTGTTTAGATTTATGCTCTCTTTATTTGTTTTGTTTACACTCAGCTGATCGGCAGTGGGCACTTTTTGACTACTAGTAGTTCCAGTGTCTTGTGCCGCGTCTGCTTGGTTGCCAGTTTGCATATTCACCCTTGTTGCCATATTTGCCATATATTTGAGTTTTGTAGCAACCGCTTCTCCTTGACTAAACCAAAGAAGACTCGTGTTCAAATTTAGTATTGGAGGCATCATATTCAAAGTCTCAAAAACTATATTTACTGTTTTTTTCCTCATTGAAACTTTAAACGGTTTAAATTAAACCAATTTAAAGCCTCTGATTGCGCACTCCGGCTCTTTGACATTGCTAGTTTAAGTGATTTGTCATGAACTGCGAATGACTCGTCATCAGCAAATAAAGTTAAATTACCTGTATGAAATAGATTATTTAGCAAATCATTTATAATTATCAGAAATAGTAAGGCTCCCATGACTTACAGCTAAATCAACTTATTTTTGAGAAGGACATATTGAATTATGTTTGTTAAATATTAGTTAATAAGCTTTACACTTAAGGGTGTAAAATTTTAAAAATAAAGTTCGCAAACCATAAACTCACCAAGCTCAAAGCAATTATTTATCTCATTGACAAAAGATATTATTGCATCTGCCGTAAAGAGTTTGTTCACTAAAAAAAAGTTTAAAATTTGCTTATATATAAGTTTTTCATAGATTTTTAAATTATTAGTAGTAGAGATATGGGTCGATAATTTCCTATTTCGTTTCTGTTGCTATTTTGTTTTTATCGCTAGTAAAAACTTGTAATAGAAGATATATCTATAAACTCTGTATATTCTCTATAGAGAATATACAGAGTTTATAAACATATTAATTATTATTAAACTTCATTTTAGTATACTTCTCTATATAAAAGTAAAATAATAATCTGAATCATTGTTTAAGTTTACCATACAATTTTTTGGATCCGTTTTAGGAGGTGGTAAAAGTTATTTGTGGTATACTATAGTATAGTATCATTGTATTGTTTGTATCATGGTATAGTATAGTATACTATGGTATACCAACAAAATTATTAAATTGATCAGGCTCTATATAAGACGTAATATCTGTAGGATTGTTAATTGTTAATGCCCACATTACTTTTGGACTATTTTTTGTGTTAAGAATGTAATTATAACTTGCTTAATTTGTTTATTATATTCAACTTTAATGTTTTAATAATGTTAATGCAATTCATTTAAGTTTTGACCATGGATTACTAATTTTAATTTAATATTTTTTTATTAAAAAAAAAATAGGTGCCCAAACAGTAACTGGTTAATTGCCGTGTTTGCTTTATATTGTTAAGACCCAGAAAAATATTTCAAATTAAGTTTTGTTGTTTTTAAAATCAATTTACTTTTTAATTTTAAATTTTAACCTTACAAATTCGATGTTTCCTGTAATGTCCTTTTTATTTTTATAATACATATCCTACTTTAGAGCCTTATAAATAATATTCTATTTCCATAATAACCATTTTTATAAAAAAATTAAAACAAAAGATTTTAACAACAGTTGTTAAAATCTTTTGTTTTAATTTTTTTATAAAAATGGTTATTATGGAAATAGAATATTATTTATAAGGCTCTAAAGTAGGATATGTATTATAAAAATAAAAAGGACATTACAGGAAACATCGAATTTGTAAGGTTAAAATTTAAAATTAAAAAGTAAATTGATTTTAAAAACAACAAAACTTAATTTGAAATATTTTTCTGGGTCTTAACAATATAAAGCAAACACGGCAATTAACCAGTTTATTTAAGTAAATTACATCGGTCTAAAATAAACTCGAAAGCGAAATAATACAGCGTATAAAATAACAAAGAAAAACATCCAAACTAAACGATATAACAAAGGCAAAAGCGGCGGCGTGTCGGCGGCGGCAGACAAGAGAAAATAAAAACAGAGCCACAGATCTTGACCTAACCTAATGCAACAGAACGGCAGTAATTAAATTTAAAAAACTCGACGCGAAAGACGAGTTAACAAAAATAGTGCCGGTGTGAATGGAAAGAGACGCGCGCCTGCAGGTGCTATGAAAAGGTTCACGTAAGTAGAATTGGCGGTTTCGTCTGAATATTTCGGTCACGTGGACATCTGGCCCGCCAATGGCAGACCGTTCGCGATGAGTTCGTATCGACTTTTAGGCGATGTTCATTTGTTGGGATTTTAACTATCGTACTTGATGCTTTAAATGTTCGCATAAACGATGCTGCAGACCTGCCACACCAACTACAAAAATAAACTAAAATAATATAACGTTGGCGAGCCCTTTTATTATCAAACTTAAACTTGGTTCATTGGTAAAAAATATTGCACTCATATTTTATATCGGGTTGCAATGAATATTGATTTTATAAATCAATTTTAATTGCAAAACAACGTGTAGGTTGTAAATTTGTATACAAGTTTACAACCTACGAGTTGTTTTACATTTAAAAATTTTATACTTTTACCTATTATAATTTATAATTTAATAATTATAATTTATAATTTTGTTTTGTACATTGTTGCTTATAAATATGTAAAAAACAATTTTTTTTTCAGATGGAAAAAAATCATAAATAAAAACTTTGAAAACGACCGTTTTTGCTGTTATAGGTAGGTATGTAGGTACCTATGTACATATACGAGGTGTATTCAGAAAATAACGGGAATTGTTAAATTTCGCGGGTTTGGAGGGTTCGGTTGTCATAAAATTTTCTTTATTATGTTGGTTTTCATGATAAAAACTTTAGCTGTTTTCATTGTTTACTTTGTCTATGGCAGCCGCTAAGGTTAGACGTGTTTTATGAGCTCGGCGATTTTTCGTTCGTTAAAAGAAATGGATCAAAGAATTTGTATCCAATTTTGCTTAAAAAATGAAATAAATTCTGTGAAATGTTAACAAAGGCCTATAGTGAGTCTGCTATGCTCTCCAAGATGGCCGTGAAGACGTTGAAGATGACGAACGCCCCAAACGCCCAAGCACATTAACAACCGATAAAGACATGGAAAAATTGGAAGAAATAGTTATAAACCATCAGAGAAGTCGCTGATGTTGTTGGTATATCGCGGGGCAGCAAAATTTGTTCTAAAATTGTTAAATTTTGAACAAAATTTTTTGCCAAAAACAATACTGTAATGATGCCCCAGCCTACATATTCGCCAGACATGCCTCTGTCTGACTTTTTCCTATTCCCAAAAATAAAGAGAACCTTAAAGGGTCGTCGTTTTGCAAGCATAGATGACATTAAAAGCGCATCGCTGAAAGAACTACAGGCTGTCCCAAAGATCCAGTTTTAGAAGTGTTTCGAGTATTTGAAGAATAGCTGGCACATGTGCATAATATCCAATGGGGACTATTTTGAAGGCGACAACATTAATGTAGACGAATAAATAAATATTTGTTTCAAAAAACTAAAATTCCCGATATTTTCTGAACACACCTCGTACATATATTCTATCAATAATAATTATTATAATTATTATTGATATTTACTCCAATTCTGTTCTACACTTATGTAAATAATAATTCAGTACACATTTAAGGTACTTAGAATAACGCATAAATTATTACGGTTACTGAGTTAGTTTACAGAATAAAACGTTTGCTATTCTGTGGCCAACGTAATATTCTGTAATTTTTTCTTACTAAAATCCAAGTCTTGAGAAACTTACACTTACAATTAAAATAAAGGCTTTTTCTCAATTTAACAAAATCGTAGTCACTAAGTACCTGTCCGAATAATGTGCTAAGTGATCATATTTTAATGTCTTTTTGAAAAAAATTGGACTCTTTTAATTTTGTTATTATAAAAAGGTGACCAAACTAAAGCACAATATTCAAGTTTGGACAATACATATGAATTAAACAATATCTTGATAGCTTTAAGGTCCATACAATCACGCGTATTTCGCACAATAAAGCCCAGTGCTTTGTCAGACAATTGTAACTTCACTTTTTACTTTTGATAATTGTTTTAAAAGGTGGAAAAACTCGAACACTATTAATTATAATAAGAAATAATCCATTTCTGATGGTGGCTGTTTGAAACAAACTAAATAAGAGGGATATCAAAATTATTATATATATTATCTTCAGGCGTTCTATAATTAATTATTATTATAAATTATTATTATTATTAATTATAATAATTATTAGCTTTAATATAATCAACGCTGACTACCAAAGTATTCGATTATCTCCTTGGATATAAAAATAATTTAGACCAACCAAGTAAAGTTTTAACATCCTAGTCTGTAAAAAATCTATAATTGCTAACCCTACTTTATATTTTTAATATTTGTAATTGTAATTGTAAGTTTTTTATATCGTTTAATAAATAAAATTGTGCCTTGAAGATAAAATGTTGTATGTCATTCGTCTGAGACGTGTCTTTTTGTGCTTCGCTCATTTGTAGGCCTTCGATAACTCGTCGGACATCAAACTTTGAGCTCAGCACAAAAAGACTCGAATCCAAACTTTATGGCATATATAACTATTTTTAGGGTGTTCTCATATTCATTGGATACCCCTATAAAATCTTTATTTGAAGAGATATTAAAAAGTAATTTTTGTATATTTAAAAAAAATTGTTTGGCTAATTTAAAAATGTACTTTATACAGTCTGGCCACTATAAGTTGGCGGAGCAAAGGAATGTACATGCTGTTTAGATAATTAATATTAAAAAACATACCTACTTAGTTATGTTTTTTACTTTTATTTATATACATAAAATATATATTCTTTTTATTTATAATATAAAAAATATGTTTTAAAAGCACACAACACGACAATTGTTTAAAAACTAACTTAATTCATTCGTTCCGCCAACTTATCGTGGACAGACAGTAGTTATATTTTTCTATGCTTTACGTATGTATAAACTTAAGCAATCTTCAGTAAACAAGTTTTACTTTGAAATTATAAATAAAAATACAATAAAATTTTAAAAAAATTCTTTAATTTACCTCGTTAATAATTTGTAATTAAACATAATACTGTTACAATAAACGTTCACGTTTTAATAAAATGCAGAGGCATTTCATTTGAATAAAACATTTGGAGAATACTAAAATTCGTTAACTTACTCACCAATTCCAGTAAAATTCTTCGCCTCTAAGCCGCAAGGGTAATTTTAACCCTTCTACCTTCTTTTAGATGTAAGGGTACAACGGACACTTCATCCCACCGCTTAGTTTCCTT